TTGAATTTATGACTTTCTGTGAGCTGAAGTCTACTCCATTCATTTGTGTGTTAAAAAAGTATAAAGAATAAGGATGCTGAGTAATAAAGATCAGGTCTTTTTGAATTTATGACTTTCTGTGAGCTGAAGTCTACTCCATTCATTTGTGTGTTAAAAAAGTATAAAGAATAAGGATGCTGAGTAATAAAGATCAGGTCTTTTCTGGAGCTTTTAAAGCTATAGTGTTTCTTTTCTTTCCTTCGAAAGGTTATACACTATAAATTATATTACAAATAAAAATGAATTAAGTGAGACTGAGAGGTTAGAGAAGAAAAAACAGAGGCGCCAGTTTCTGTAGAGGGTCTTTAATGGATGATACTTTGAGGCTATCAATTTGGAAAGAAAAAAATCAAATAAAGATCCATTTCATACTCATTTTGCAGACCTCATCCTTTTCTTTGTTTTCATATAAGTAACTCTGACACTGTCTTATTTTATGTAAGATCTATGTTGTTCTTCTACTGTTCTAATATTATGCAAACGAATCCTACCGCCTTAAAGGCAGACAAATTAAACCATTCAATTTGTTTGTTTAGTAATTTCAAAGTAACAATAAGCAAGGTGCTTTCACCTATTTTTTTTTTTTAAAGATTTTATGTATTTATTTGACAGACAAGTAGGCAAAGGGGCAGGCAGAGACTGAGAGAGGAGGAAGCAGGCTCCCCACTGAGCAGAGAGCCCGATGAGGGGCTTGATCCCAGGACCCTGGGATCATGACCCGAGCTGAAGGCAGAGTCTTTAACCCACTGAGCCACTCAGGCGCCCCTCACCTATTTTTTTTATTTAAGAGTTTATTTATTTGACAGAGAAAGAAAGAGATCACAAGCAGTGAGAGTGGCAGACAGAGGGAGAGGGAGAAGCAGGGAGAAGCAGGTTTTCTGCTGAGCAAGGAGCCTGATGCTGGGCTCAGTCCCAGGACACTGGTATCATGACTTGAGCAGAAGGCAGCTGCTTAACTGACTGAGCCACCCTGCACTTTCACCTGTGTATCACCAGCCATGCCATTCCTCCTTTATTTTTGCATTGCTCCTACTACTACTAGCAGAAATCCTAAGAGATCAGATAATAAAAAACCCAAAGAGGTCTTGATATTTTCTTCAGCTTCATAATCAAAGCCCATCTCAAGCTATGAATTGCCTTCATCCTCAAGATTGTTTGAAACTTGTTAATTTATTTTTTCTTTGGGAAAGTAAGAGTGAATCAGGACCAAAGAGAAAACTGCCACTTGTTGCCCTTTGATGAGTCTCTTCTTTACTCCATTTAGTGGCAGCAGCTGGGAGTGCAGACCTCAGTTTATTCCATGCTAGGGGAAGAATCTCTTTTTATTTTCTCCCCATAATGGTGAATATCTAACACAGTTCTTCGATTATAGAAGATGTTTGATGTAAATTTGACAAAAGAATGGGTGAGTAAAAGAATAATGCAATGTTGATTGTTTAAAAATGAATCATTTCCACTCCTTAATCTGACTTCAATTTGAAACCCCTTGATAATCAAACTTTACAAAATTGGTTTAAGGTCTCCCTACAGAGAAATAGACCATGGCATGGAGAAGTGTTGTGGCTTCAGGAGAGCTTAGAAAGAAGGACCGGTGCTCAACCACGTTTCACATGAAGTAACTTGTCTGAGCAACACTTCCAAGATTCTCCAGAGGGAGAAAGGATTGTTTTGGAGTATGAGGCAAAGTAAAGTGTTCCCAGGAGTGGAAATATTTTAAATGCTTTCATTTAGACAGGGCAATGGCCTGTTTAAATCAAACCACCACCCTTAACCTTGGTCCATAAGGCTATTAGGGAGATACAGTGTCACTTACTCTGAGAGAAGTCTGCTTTTATCTGGCCTACATTTGAATCTTGCTTTTCTTTACACTTTTCCTTTGCTTTTACTTTTTTCTCTCAATGACTATGGAGTTTCCTGCTTGATTTCTCTACAGGGGTCCTATTGGTTAAGGGGTGAAGGAATGAATAAATCCTAATCCTAAAAAGATAACTGTTTCAGTCTGCTTTCATAAAAGCACAAGCTCCTGGCTTCTCCACGGTGTGGCTCCAAGGGGCAGCTGAAGGCCACCCCGCAGCAGACTGTGAGTCAGAAACTGGGTTAACTGCCTTCCCTCCCAAGTGCCCTCAGGGCCATCCCCAAGAAGTAGTAACTTCCAGGACCCGGACCCGTACTCTGTCCCCTGTGCTGAGAGAGCAGACTCCCTTTAAAGACAAACTTTGCAAAGAAGAATAACCTTGAGAAAGACCCTTTCTATGCAGATCAATGCTCAGGAACAGCGCTAACCACTTACAACTCCCCTTCGACATTTCACAGAAGTGTTTGCAAGCTGGAGAAGAGGCCTCTTTCTACCCCAAAACCCAAATCCCTGTTTTGTGCCTCGGGTGCAGTGGGGTCTTATAGGATGAGCCGCTGGGGAAATAGGGGCCCCCTATCCTCTCCTTGGTCAACTAGAGTCACCTTGCCAGAGGGCTCCCCTGCCTCCCTGGGGATACTTCTGTGGTGCCTCGACTTGAGTCTCTCTGGGGAATTCTCTATCTGTTCTGGAGGTCTCCTGGAGTTCCAACTTCTCAGCCCCAAACATCTGCCCGGAACCATCCGGCGGTCCCCATCCCCCAAGCTTTGGGACGGCTGCGGGGCTGCGCTAGCCATTAGTGGCCATCATCCATTTTTAATCAGAAAGATCACAAGAAAGATGGTAAGCGAATCCCAGTCGCAAGTCAATTTAAATAACATTCCTGGGGAAATCCAATCACTTAAAACTGAGACACCTACGCCAGCAAGAGCCCCCCGCCGGAGCGGCGGGGAAGAGCGCGACGGCTAAATTAATCGAGATCAGGGGGCCCCCGGGCTCACAGCGGAGCGTTAACCCTTCCAGCCCCGGAGGGTGACAAGGGGGGCTTGGAAGAGTGCGGCCGGCGGGGCGAAAATGCCCACGGCAGCCACGGACAGGCTGCCTCTGCCATTTTGGGCGGCTCCGAGAGCCCTGAGGCGGGCCGGGGCGGCTGGGCGCGCGGGGTTAAGGTCAGAAGCTCAGGAGGACGCTCCCGCTGCGAGGAGCGGCCGCCTCCCGCAGCCTGGGCGCGCCTCGGGCTCCTCCTTCTGCCCAAGCGTGGCCAAGTGAGGACTGCTCCGACCGCAGGTAGCGGAGGCGCGGGAGGCGGCGCGCGGGACTGAGCGCAGCGCTCGGGACTGAGCGCAGCGCCCGGGGAGGGGCCGACGGACACGCGGACAGACGGATCCCCCCAACCCCCTCCCCGGACATTAGCGACGGTCTGCGCCGGCCATGTGGGGACCCGGGGTCACAGCGGAGGGCCTGTCGGTGGCGCCGGCACCGCCGCCGCTGCTGCCGCTGCTGCTACTGCTGGCGCTGGCGCTGGTGGCGCCCTCGCGGGGCGGCGGGGGCTGCGCGGAGCTGGCGTGTGGCGAGCGGGAGCGCTGCTGCGACGCGGCCAACGCCACAGCGGCGCGCTGCTGCAAGCTGCCGCTGCACGCCTTCCTAGACAACGTGGGCTGGTTCGTCCGCAAGCTCTCTGGGCTGCTTATCCTGCTAGTGCTCTTCGCCATCGGCTACTTCCTGCAGCGCATCATCTGCCCCAGCCCACGCAGGTACCCGCGAGGCCAGGCGCGGCCAGGGCAGGCACGGCCCGGACTGCCGGGGGCCGCAGGACCGCCGGGGGCCGCGGGGCCTCCCGACGACGACGACGACTCGCCCGCGCTACTGCGCGACGAGGCGGCCGCCGGCTCTCAGGACTCGCTGCTGGACAGTGGCGGCGGGGGCCGAGGCCGGGGAGGCGGCGGGCGCTCGGCCCCTTCCTGCGCCTCGGAGCACGAGCTTCGCGTAGTCTCGCCGGTCTTCCTGCAGCTGCCCAGCTACGAGGAGGTCAAGTACCTGCCCACCTACGAGGAGTCCATGCGGCTGCAGCAGCTCAGCCCCGGGGAGGTCGTGCTGCCCGTGTCGGTGCTTGGCCGCCCGCGAGGCGGCGGCGCCGGGGAGTCCGACCGCGGCGAGGGCCGCTTCCCGCTCATCTGAGCGTCTGTGGCCGGTCGAGGACCGCGCGGACAGAACTGGGCTAGGGGGGCTGCGGGTGGGACGCGACGACCGAGGTGGCCGCTGCCACCGCCGACTGCCTCAGAACCCGCCTGGCACCCGGGCCGAATCGCCTGTCGCCCGGCGCCTGGGTTGGAGTCACCTCCACTCCCGCTTGCCCCGGTATCTTAAGTTTCCCTACGTTTCATTCGGTTCAAGGAAACGTTAGGCTCGCACGGCGGGGGCGACAGAAGCGGACGAGGCTGGAGCGCAACTTCGAAGGACGTCCGCGCCCTCAGCCTCTCCTCAGACCTGTGTTCACTCGTAAGTGCCTGCTTTCCGAATCAAAGAGAACACGTGAGCCCTTTAGTGCGTCGGGAGAAAGGCTGTCACCTTTGGGGATGCGGGGAAAGGGACGCAGTTCCATACCTCTGCCTCTCGCCTGGACAGGTCACGGTCTCCCAAGATGGGCGGAGGGCGAGCAGCCGTAGGGGCGAGCGGCGACTGGAGACTGCTGCGCGCGGTCGGGGAGAGCAGCGCCTAGGTATGATTGAATCCCTCCCTCCCTTGCGGAGAACCCCAAAATCCCCCCCTTGTATCTTCCTGGCCAAGCATAGTCACCGCTGATGGCTCACAATACGGGGAGGGATACCCGTGATATCCAGTTAGGTGCTGTACCTATTGAAGACACACAGGAATTAGGTGTATCGAAGATCGTATTCTTCATAAGGTACAGGTGGACTTTTGATTTCTCAAAAACTGAGAAAATATTTATATTTATTTGTCTTTTATTTTTGTATTTTTGCCATGTATTGAACGTATCAGGAGTGTATTTGTGCAATTAATGACAAGATAATCGTCTTTTCTTCGATATGGCCCTCTTCCCCTTAATGGTCTGGGAATTGTCATTATTGTTTAATAAAATATTGGACATGATTTCATTTACAATGGGGGAAAAAGAGGCATGGTCAAAAGAGAAAACAGATGTGACCTAAAACACATGAAGGATATCTTATTTTCACTATTTGAGAAGAATATATTTTATTTTTAGTACTGTGGCATAATATACAACTTTTTGTAATAAGCGTAGATTGTGTAGTCTAGGTCTTAATTGTATCACTCACCACATAGTTGTATGTAGAAATGATTGATGCATAATATGCCATACCATGGCATGAAGCATGATGTCATATGCTTTTCCCTTTATTTTGAAGTACATTCCACAACATGACACAAAACATAAGAACTTGTGACTTCTCTTTAAAGCCATAATTGTGCAAGCAATGTACTACAGAAGGATTTAGTCAACATATCCTAAGAAAAAAATGTCATTGTATCAGTTCTACCATTCTATGAAATGTCCTTTAAGCAAATGGTGATATAAAATATTAAAATGCATTATGTATAATGTACATATGCACAGTCTATGTACAATATACATATTGTATACCACATAATTACTATAGTTTATGACCAGCATGAAAGGAAAAGGAAAACAAATGTTTCTCTGCTTGGAGAAGGATGAGTGTTATATTAAGAAAGATTTTACATGTGTGAACCTTACATATGTATCTAGAAACATTGTTCCTATGATTGAAAAAAGGTTGACAATCCTGAGATTGTATTAGAGGAAACTGATTTGATTAATTTGAGAAGTGATTTGTGAAATTAATTTGAGAAAATGACTTAAACTTTTAAATGCTAATAGAAAAAGTCTGACAGTTCTAAGAAGTCTGAATTGTAACAGAAGAGAATGGTTTACTCTAAACTGCTAAAAGCTAATGATCCTGTCATTAAAATCATTTGAAGTATTATTAAAACACAGAAAAACATTAAAATCTTTCTCTGTGCAAACTGTATCAAATGTGTGACTATATGGCAATGTAATAAAATATGATATGTGTATCTCTGTTACTTAAAAGCAATTTTAAGCTGTGTTTGGCAAAACAATAAGGAGTTGAGACAATTTATTTAAATTGAGAATGGGACAAGACTTAATGAAATCACATCATATTGAGTAACTGCACATTAATGTTATTCAAACACTGTAAATTTTAGTTACATGTGGCTATCAATATCACCCACCATTCAAACAAACAGGAAAGTTACCATAATCTTTTAAATTATTTGTCCTTTAAGGGTATTCTGTTTTGGATACATCTTAAAATTCACCCATATCCAAAACAGCAACATGAACATCCAAGTACCAGTATATGTAGTATATCCTACATGTTGCTGTTATTAGCTGTTGGAGCTTTGCAACAAAATCTTGTAAAAACACTTATAATACGAATCAAGTATATTTCCCTTGTATCAACTATGGAACATTTCTCCCCCTAAAATTCAGAATGTCTATAATGTAATACTAGTCATGCCGTGAGGTTCCACTGAATTTTAAAGTTACCACAAATTTTACACTTGTTTTTTTTCCTACACAGCACACAAGCTTTTATGCACATCTCTCAGTTAATAAAAATGAGTTTGACTCTGGTTTTTTTCTTGCACTTCATTGTTTACCAAGCACAATTTGGGGGAGGGGGGTTCTTAAAAACTAATTTTTTAGTGATAAATGAACATGTTTCACAGTTACAAACACACACACACACACACACACACCATACCCTGTTAAAACACAAAGAACCTGTGTATTCACAGTACTTGAATGCCTGGATAGAAACATTTTTAAAGCACTAAGGGCAGTATCTAGGTGTAACAATTTTATAGATTTCACCTGGCAGTTATTTATTACCTAGAACTAGTAAAAAATAGTAATGTAGAAAGCATTAATGTAGAAAAGTTATTCTCTCAACTCAAAATAATTTGTGATGTGATTTTACTTGTTTTCAACATTTTTTATATAGGTGAGGGCACAGATATATATATATATATATATATATATATGCACATATTTATGTATATATAAAATCAGTTGCTTAACAGCATGACTTCAAAATTTTCAGTTATGTGTATTATTTCATTATGTATGTATACACACACACATATGAAATCTGTTGCTTAAAAGCAATTTGTTGTTGGTGTTCAATATCATAAACAAGGGGGAAATGTCTTCTTGAAATAGAATAATAGTTTCAAGAGGCCATTAATTCAACCATGAAGACAGCTTTAGCAATTATGCCAAAGGGCATCAGGTGTACTATATAAGGAAAACAAGACTGAACTGTAGAGGCTGAAGGGAATATTAAGGAAATGGCCTCCAACAGTTTAAAAGGCAATATGCTAAGTACCTCAATGTTGTACTTTATGTATACAGTTTCTCTAAAGTGGAATTAATAAAGGAAACAGTTCACAGCTGGAACTTATTATGTTATAAACATGAATATGGTGTCCAGATTTAAACAATGTTCTGCACTGATTTCTGTAAAAATGTCATGAACATAATTTGGATTTCCAGAGTGAAAGAAACAATGACAAGTTGTTTTATTTTGAGTAGCCCAGCATTAATCATCTCTCCAAAACTCTACGTTGCAGACAACCAATTAGTAATAGAATATTTGGCAAGGTTGTATCACTAGTTTACAATTTACTTTTTCATTCACCTTTCATCCATTGGGAAAAGATAGTAGGCTAAGGGAAGGTATTTTATCAACAAAGAATGAATCAGCAACCAGCTAATTGTAAGGAATTAAAACATCCTTTCTTCCATAGAGATGGAAAGAATGTCTTCTTTAAAAAACAAAAATTTCCCTATAAAATAATCAAATGTCAAATAAAACCAATACTTTGATTATATTTAAATACATATAGAACCTAATTTTATTTATTGTTTTTTACTTACAGAATTCACTTTTAATTTTACAACAAAAATTTTACAATGTTGGACATTTATGCCATCCAACTAAAGTTTATCACTTTTTTCCCCTTCAGCTTCTTAACTAAGCACCTTCATTGTCTTGATCTCTCCCAGTTCTTATTTTTCTTTCTTTGTATGTTGTTACCTTGCTTTGAATTTTCAGTACTTGTTTTCACTAAAACACATCTCCTAAAACTCCAAGTTGCTCTTTTCTCTGATTTTATACCAACTTACTTCTTCCTCTTATGTTACAGTCTCTGAGTTTTTCTCTTAGAAACTCTTCACAGTATTCTTTCCATTTTCCTTTATTTGAAAATTTTTCTGTTGCTAGAAGCAATGAGACTCCTGAGTTCTATATTAGTTCCATACCTGTATCTGTGATAGAGGGACAATGCTGACTCAGCTCTGCTTGAAAATTAAGTTCCTATTTCTTCCATTCATCTCTGCACATTATCTCTTGGACTAGACAAATGTTCAGATTCTTGAAACTCTCTTTTTGTTTTTTTAGGGTGTATCTTCTTCTTTGACTAACTCTGTTTTGCACGTTTTTGACACCTGTCAAGTCTTCTACTTGGTTTTTTCTTTAGGAGTTTTAACCATTGGTGCCTGTTGGGTCTTTTCTGGGTTCACACAGAAGTTTCCCACAGAAGTTTTCAGAATTTTCCTGAGTGTTGTTAGTTCAGTGGATTCACATTTCTCCCTGGGAGATATCCAAGCTTCTTCTTGATTGTCTTATATTCTGGGGTCCACCATTTACTGTGTAGTTTTCCTAAGGCGCTTGGCTCCTGTTGAGTCTTCCACTGGGTCTTTTGACACCCGGAGTGAGGTTTCACCTTTTCCACATTTCCGCTTGGGAGATGAGGGGTTCTTGTTGCTTTTGCTCTCTGGTTGTAGCTGCTTGCTTTGGTGTTTTTAGACACTCTCTGATGCCTTCAGATCTTCCACGGAGTCTGTGCTTTCCTTGTTCTTCTCCAGCTGTATCCTGAATATTCTTAGATTTCCTCATCATTCGGGTTTGTGCTTTGGACTGTTCTAAGCTTTTTAAAGTGGACATTACAACCATTTATGTATTTCTCTGGTTCTGCTGGTGTTTCCCTGAATTCTTTGATACCTGCCAGGTCTTCGGAGGGCTCTGGTTTTGAGTGTCTTCAGCAGCCTCCTGATGATGCCTGTTAGAATTTCTACTGGTTCT